GATAAACATAAGTCCGGAAATAAGTCGTTTCCGAGTTATAACCACTTTTATGTTTAAAAAATTGTAATTTATTTTTTATAATCATAACTACAATTATAATTAGTCATAATAATTCATTTTTTTCCAGGATTCATCACGTGGCATTGTTCGTTTGGCAATCCTTTTTAATTTTAATTTTTTTTCAATTTTTCGATATTTGTAAATACGATAACATTATTTTCAGAATGAAGGATAAACATAAACAGGTATTTAAATCGAATTAAATAAGATGTTCAATATGACCACCTTCAGCACTAATGCAGGCTCTTATTCTTCTGTCAAAGAAATTCTAAACTTTTTGAAAAACATCCTTCCGAATTATTACAATTAATATTCGATTAATCAAATTTGATTTAAATACTTGTTTATGTTTATCCTTCATTCTGAAAATAATGTAATCGTATTTACAAATATCGATAAATTGGCTGCGTTCAGCAGACTCAACTGATATAAAGCGATTGAGCGAGTGATCCGTGAGCGTAGTATCGGCGACTGAGTAAAGTACGTTCAGCAAACTGCATCCAATAATTATGCAACGGTTGAGTCTACTGAACGCAGCCATTGAAAAAAAAGAATAAAAATTAAAAATTAATAAAATAAAGGGATGCCAAGCGACTTATGCCTCCACGTGGTGAATCCTGGATACAAAAATGAATTATTATGACTATGATTACGAAAAATAAATTACATTTTTTTAAACATAAAAGTGATTATATCTCAGAAATGATTTATTTCCGAAACTATGTTATAACCTTTTTTCCTTCTTTTTGGATTCCGAATCACATCTCGAAGTATTGTAGGCGATTTACTGAAAACCCTGTGTATATATATATTTTTCTTTTTTATGTGTTTTAGTTAGTCTTAACAACAAGAGAGTTAATATTGAATATTATAACAGTTCTGGAAACGATTTTTCAAGCTATGAAGAATGATGATATTCGGGATATGAATGACTTATATTTTTCTACAGTTTATAAAGATCACAATATATGTATTAAATCTGAATGTGAAGCAGATGCGTGGCATGAAGGAGAACGTGGTATCGAGGCTAGAAGATTGCTCGGTATACTTTCGCACATCAGTATTGAATCGGCATACTTAAGTAATTACATAGCAGGAAAATCACAATTGCTTACTCGCAATGATGAATGTTACAATCATTACTTGCAACAAATGACATGTTATAATATGTGGTCAAAGAAAGGCCATGAATTTGAAATGCTTGAGATTATCTTAGAATGTGTCACTTTAATAGAACATGTTGTAAGTACTATTTTACTACTCAATATATTAATTATATCAAATAAACTAACAATCGTTTTCTAACAATAGTTGATAAATATTATTTGCAGAGGAGATCTCATCAATTTACAGGTCTTATAAATGCAATTGTAAAACTACTGTGTAATGTGCAACAGAAAGTGGATTATTGTGACAAAGGGTATATTAATATTATTGTAGTAATTTTTATATTTTTATTGATTTTATATAAATGCATTTTTTCCAGATTAGAATATATTTGTCTTATATTCAAAGAGCTTGTATTCTCAAGGCCATTATCACTTTGTTATGTTTCATTAGCGAATTTTATAATGATTTTCAGTAAATGCAATATATTTATGTCAAAACTTTGTACAAATTCACGTAAGTATATTGGATATTTCTAACAAAAAGTTTGTTCTTTTAAATATTTATTATCATTATTTTAATAGAGTTAATGACGATAAAAAGATGGAAAGGAGTTTTACACTTTACACCAGGTATATTATGTCATTTCGAAATAATCTAAAAATTTGCGCATTTCTTTATAATTTATTTTTTAAAAGAAATTTTTTTAACGATGAATAATCTGTGTTTCAGATGCTTGTGTCTTACAAATTTTTATGGCACAAGTAGAGCATTTTTGTCCAGACTTTCTTACTACACTCAACATGACACATGCATTAATATCATCTATATGGCATGTCTTACAGAAGAATAATTTATTAAAAAGTGAAAGCTCAGAATCTTGTAATTGTTATACGAAATTATTACGATTTATAATTAATATGTTAAAGAAATGTTCTGAAAACAAATTAGACATAATTGATAATACTGAGTGGCAAGATTCATTTTATGCTTCCAAAAAATGTTATGTTTTGAAGATAATTAATTACAAAGATTATGCATGTCAGATGAAATATAATAAAGAGAATATGGAGAAACATCTGACAGAAATATATTCAGAAAAGTTTGATCGTAATTTATGGTTTGATATGAAAAAGATTCAATACAGTGTATTAAGACAAGGCATCAGATTTTTATGTCATCTTGCGATTTGCGATCCTGATTTTGTTATCCGATCATCTGATATTGAAGATTCGTTTCACTTATTTATACGAAACATCGTTTTTTTTGACGATTTGATACTTCACGAAAATGAGCGTAAATATCATAATACATCTCGTCTATATTATTCGCTTTTTATGCAGTTAATATTTATATTATTGTTTTAGGAGAAGCATTAGATCGTATAAAAACCACATTTATTGTCGATAAAGGTGTACAATATGAAACTGAGACACATAATGAAAATATACATATTAATCAAATGCATATGACAAATTTTGAAAAGAAAGTTACTCCTACAACTGAGAGGAATCATCATACTGGACCTATTGAAAATTATAATAGAGTATACATGGCTATCCAAGCATTGTATAATTCTAAAATGGAAAACAGGAACGATTAAATATATTAAATTTTCAAGTGTGCATTTTAATATTTTTATAAATACATTTATGTAGATTGTAGACATAAGATTTTATGTTGTAAGAAAAGTAAAATATATACAGAAAGAATGCTTACGATATATTGATATAATAATAAAGTTAGAAACGCTTAAGAAGTTAAGCATTTCTAATTTTCAATAATGTCCATCAGTAGATGTTTCATACTTGTATAATGTCGAAGATATTTCTTAACTAAATAATTTCCATTCTTTTTAAACACATTTATAAATATCAGAAAATTCAGTTAAAATACTATTTGATAAGAAGAGAGGATATAATTAATATATGTATAGAATTTATTAATTATTAATATCAATGATTTTAACTTTTATGTAATGAATCTATATCTATTATTTTTTTTTTGTAGTAAATCGAAAATGTAAGTTGACATCGGGTTTCATAATCATATAACTTTCTCTAGGGTGGAAACGTGAAAAGTGAAAACATCAACAAGATACTATTAAAGATCCTGAACAGTGTGTCGTCGATGTTTTCATTTTTCATGTTTTCGTCCTAGAGAAAAAATTACATGATTGATACTCTGTTCAAGCATTTTGATTAATAAATCTTAATATTTAATGATGTCTGAATATTTGATATCTTACTTCAAGCTTTACTGAAGCGTAAAAACTGCTATAATTTATGTAGTACATGTAGCACAATGTTGAATTCTAATATTGAATATTTCATCAACGTTACTAAATATAGATTACGTTAAAAAAAACATTGCAAAAACGTCCAATGTCCATTGAATTGTAATGTCTGCCAAATATTGAAAAGATTGTAATTTAATTAATATTCAAAAACATTGATTCAACATTTATTTAATATCATATTAATTTCCAAAAATATTAGGTTTCTAAATTTAATTTTTACACAAAACTAATGGAAATTAATACTCTCAAATAATACATTTTATTAACTTTAATTTAGAAGTTCTTGGGGGGGTTACCTTTAAGAAATTGTTTTATTAGAATATCTATGAAGAATCTGCGTCTTTTATTTTATTCTGTATAGTTTTTTATTTATGAGAAACAGAATTGCGCCGTATCAATCTGATTTAATATTTACTTTCATTTGAGAGCTTTTGGATTGCTCTTATTAGGTCTGTTCTATAAGGGTGCGTTCAGGAATTCACGGTATATTATTTTATCCTTGTTATTCACCGAATATTAGATAAAGATAAAATAATATCTAGATGTACACTCGTGGATGCGTTTACAGAGTTGCGATGTATGTATTGTAGTACACTTGCTCACTAAAAGGTTGCGACACTTTTTTTTTATAGGTTTCTAATTTATATTTAATATACGTAATATATATTTTATAGATAACTAATATTTTGCAAATGCAAACCACATGTACTATCTTTAGTTTAAAAGCAGTATAAC